AAAATATTTCATTTTATGACCCGTTCAACAAAGGTCCCTAAAAAGGATTTACATGCATCATGTTCATCTGCAGTTTTTGCAATGAATTGTTTATTTTTCGTGATAGGATGTTTTATTATAATTCCTATTATATTACGAAAAAGTTTCCATAAAGGGCGAGGCCTAGAACAGGGTATACATGAACAAGACTTTTGTCACAATACTGAACGTGAAAGTATTTATTAAAAAAGTTTCTAAACCACCAAAGGTTGTATGTTTATTTACATTATTCGCGTTACCAGCTTAAAAAGTTGTGATGGTAAAGTTTCTGTGAAATCCATTGTATACAGATTGAAAGACAACGTTGATAAAACAGAATTTCCAGGAAATCCTACGCGTGACATTAAAGCATCTACTCAAAAATCAAGAAAAAGAAAACAAGGGAGAAAAAAGTAAAGAAAGACAAACAAATTCTCAAATAACACTATAGCCCAGCTTTTTAAACAGTAGATTGGAAAATTATAAATATTTTGTGTGCAGGATACTACAAAGTAATGTACCGATGAACTAATTGTAGGGTTGAATAACTTCCTGAATATCTTAGTGATAACTTTTTAAAACTTTGTGGTGATTTTATCCTACTCATAATTGATCGAAGATTGTCGCAGGCAACTTCATCATTGCAATAACTTCGTGATTATTAAAGAATTACTTTCTAAGTTTTTTCCTGGAGAAGAACTGACCTGCGTGACCATCTATCTCCCAGGGCATTTAGTCATGAACCATGAATGTCTAAAGCAATTTATTGTTTCCGAATATTTTTTTTTAATATTAAGTCAAAAAAAATAGTTATGCCTCTTTATTGTAGGACTTCGTTTAATGAGCCACATGCCAGCAACACACCGTTGTATTGATAAAAAAATATTTTATGCCGTAGATAATAGAAAAGTAAACTATTTGATGGTACCTTAATGTTGTTTTATTTTTTCTGTGACGATATTTCGGTTACGACCAAAAGATTCATGATGTAGCATTGTGGTTTGTAAAAATAGCAATATTGAAGAAGAAAAAGTTCTGTATTTCATAAATAAGAACTTCAAACAAATTCTGAAAAATTAGGATTTATAACGCAACTCTTCGAAAATGACGCAACATGGACTGAAAATGAATATCTACAGAAATGATTCAACACTGTAAATAAATTTGTAAATGAAGCAGCAGAAAAAAATTTTACTCATTTTAGTTGTATTACGAAATCCATACTTGGTCCCTGAGGGTAGCAGAAGGGGTGTCCTATTATGAAAATCATTGCTTATTCATATAGGACCCTGGCCTAGTTGCCCTATCGTTGCCCTGTTAGGAAGTTGCTTACTTATCCCGATCCAGCCCTGATTTAACTGCTCTCCCAATCCTATCCCAACAATATTATTTTATTTCAACACCTCAATAAGTTTTTTTTTAAGTTTTTACATTTAGTAGCGGTTAATATTTTAATAATTATCAAACATTAATTTGAAATTAACTTAATTGCTTATATTAATTTTTTGGGCAAGGGCCCTCTGGCTTAGGGATTCGTGTACTATGGAGCACCGATAGTTACGTCACCACACGTTTACCTAATCCGCAATTAGGTCGCAAACAAAAGGACTTTCTTAATCTTTTGGCCATTTACTTCCTATATTTGATCCGTAATTAGGATGTTCCTTTACTATGGACCACTCTCACTATAATGTATTGAATACCTGCTGTATGCATGCTCCTTTCACACTTCAGGACAAGTCACAAAAAAAAAAAATAATCTATTATTGCAACAATAAGTGTAAAATAATTTTTTGTTTCAGTTAGCGCATTTTCCTCATTTGATCCTGTAGCACCAATTGCATATGACTCAGAAGGTTTGTATATTTATCTACATTAATAAACTTTGATGAATTTTAGTAAAAAAAGTTGATATTTGCGATATCAATCTTAAGATTTGTTCAATTAAATTAAAAGAAGTATTGAAAAATAAATTTTTCTTTCTTAGAATTTGTGAATAGAATTCTTTATAATAAAACAAATAAATGCTTTCTAATTTACACAATAAATAAATACTGTAATAATATTTTAGATTCTGCTATCACAATGCTGCCTGCAACAGATGATCCGTTAAGTTCATTTCCATGGTTAAAAGATGAACTTAGTGAAAATGGAACAATTCATTTTCCAACAGGTGAGTTAATATTAATTTAGTTAAAGAATAAGGTAGGTATCAGATAAACCTTTAGTAAATTAAAAAAGTAAGGCACATTATCAATTTGAGATGGTTGGCTGAATCATTATGCAGACATATTAGACATTAGCACGGCCCATTATCAAGAGTAACAATGATTTTGTACTAGTCGAGTTTTGCAGCATTTTTTACTTTTGCTCTTTCAATAATTTTAATGTTTGTTATTTTCGTATCATTCCTTACGATTATGAATAAGACTTTCTGAAAAGTTAGTTTTTTTTTTATTAACAGGGAAATGTTAGCAAGAATTACGTAACAGAACAATCACGCAGATACACTTAATTAAAAATAACCTTGTTTAAAATAATTATCCCAGAATTAGTGAAAAATCTGCACTATGTTGACTCTGGTTATTTATTAAACGCTGTTATTCGCCTGCAGTTCAGGTTGAACGTTATTACGTGGCAACTGTCTGTGAGTGCCACAGCCACCTCTATCTTACAAGCCATGAACAAGTATGTGGCAACGCCGCAAATTGTCGGCCATGCCGGTTTACTTGAGGGTCCACGAGTAGCATGCCTTAACATTAGAATACATAATTCAATCTTGAATTTTGCAAATGATTCGTAAAATTCACAGGAAATAGTAAAATGAAATTGATCTATTATGTATATTAAAATGTTTTGAACACTTATTAGTAATTTCACATGTATGGAGGAATGCAGAACAAATCATAAATGCTCAGAACTGTTTTAGCTAAATTATTTTCATTAGAAGTTGCACCCATTATTTTTTGATTTTTATGACATTTTTTGAGAAACATAAATTTCATCTACTAACGATTTTATCTTTTGTTTTGAAGGAAAAGTACTTTGCATCCTAGCTTCTTCCATAGCCTGTTTTCGGTATGTGCGAAAGTTTTGGAGACTTATTTGACTTTTTTTGATAATCACCCGCAGAAAGGCAATAGTGTGAAAATTAGTCTTAATAAAATTACAATTATTCAGATAATACACATTTACCGATTAATGTTAAAGTAACTTATATTCTTTGTTAATTCATTTGTGCTTATGTTTTCATAGTAGGCTGTGAAGATTTGGCCTGTGATGCACTTATTTAATTTTTTTAATCTCAACACGTGTAGTACTAAACTGTTTATGTTTATTTGTTCATCTTTGACGTTTGATAAAATCGGCAATGTTTACTTCTCCATCATGTAGCTGTAAAGTTTTTATAGCACTGCACTATTCAGTATTACACACCTACGTGCAAGTTTGCAATGTGATCGATGAAATNGTTCATTACTGAATGTTTTTAATAGAAAAAAAACATCAGATTTTCATACAGCGCATGTAAACATGAATAAGCTCGTTGAAGTCCCGGCGTACAAGCATCTAGTTCTTGAAGTAGACCCGCTCGCTATGTTGCCAGATTTCCTACTTCACGGCTTGTTAGATAGAGGTGGCCGTGGAAGTGCTGATAAGAACGAACAAAATCGCGACTCACATTCTGACAGTTTCCACAGAGTTTTGATCAGAAGTTATTGTTTGATTTTTTCTTCAGAATAAATTACATTTACGTTTTAGGTGACTTTGAGTTAAGTTTTAATGCTACTGTGCCAACCCACGCTTGTTCAAATGCACCACCTTTGAACGCTTCTGGAAATTGCACTCTTATAAGCAATTGTGGTACCGCTTTGATATTTTTGATGAAGATTGATGATCTTATAAAACACTTTTGTCCCCTAGACAAGTAAGTATTGGTCAATATGACATAATAATAATTTATTTATAAAAGGTTGTATCGATATAAATCTATATATTAGACATTCTAATTTACACTTTTCAAGAATAAGTACTTAGGTACAATATAATCTTATCCGAAATTTAATTCTCTTTATCGCATATGTATTAGATCAAAAGTAGCTAAATAAAAAAAAATACAACGTGTAATTATACAACACGCTAAAGTGAAACTTCTTCAAACACACAAACATACCGGGATAGGGGTTAAGGAATTGGTTTAATGGTATTATTTGTACACTATGAATTTTTTTACACTATACATGCCGGAGTTGCCTGTAACGAACGTTGCATTGAAGCGATCCCCACTACGAACTCGACTATGTGTCCGAGCAGAGGGGCACATCCGTTGCATGATTTCGTTACATAGCAACTCGCATGAAACGAACTTACCCTACCGTGCGTAAAGAAGTTTCAGTTCAAAAAAGTTGAGACAAGCTAAATTTTGAAATATTGTTGATGCTTTTCGATTATCATCAGCGTATTTTTGATGATTCTGAATTATTAATCAATTTACCCTGTTTTAGGTACATTGGGGTATGTTGTCCTGACGATATTGTTGTTCCATAAAGCGCAGATGATACGAAAGTATGTATGTACTGTTACAGTAATATTTTTAGAAGTTGTAATGCTCATAAATTAATCTAACTAATAATGCGAAACTGTTTTGTAAGTAATAATTGAATGTTACCATGCGGTGTACATAATGAATAATGACATGTATGATCAAAATATGAATAAAGTGTCTACCCATGTTTAATGTTTACGCTTAGCAGTTTTTGTTTCATGTTTGTTTATTATTGTTACTTAAATATGTATGTGTATATATAAAATATACTTTTGTTTCATCTCCATTAACTAAAACTATTTGTTTGCACGTGGTTGCGGCCACTTTTTCCTATCCTGAGGTAATCTTCGCATTTCCTTAAAGTAGAACATCCCACATACTATTTGTGAACAGTAATCTGATCTAGGTGTACCTTTACTCCTCTTAACTTCTGCGCTATCCTCTGTTTTATATCTCTACTGCTCCTTTCATCCTGAGTTATCTGACTTCTTAAATACCGAAAATCGGCCACTTGCTCTTTCCCTATTTTTTTTTCCTTGTATGCCAGTATTTTTATTTTACTTTTATTTATTTTCATATAATACTGTTTTGTCAATACCGATTCCATTTTATTTAAATGCTAATACTGCTACATCTGCAAATTTAATCATACTGTAATGTTCGCGGGTTTAACAAAATTAACTTCTAAGACTGATAACGACAAAAACTATTTATTTACATTAATTATTGATATATCACTATTCACTGCGCTATTTATTTCACTGCTATCACTGTTAATTTATTTCTCGATTCACTTCTGCAAAGGTCAATTTATTTCTCCTTTTGGCATTCGATAAATTCCTAGCCCTGTGGATCTTGCCGATTTTTACGAGCGAATCAAAGCCTTCATCTTCACCGTCTGATCTCTGAAAAGGAGAAAAGCCCCTGACGCGGACGGAATTCCCAACGGTGTCTTAAAAGTCCTGCCATGAAAACACATAAACGCACTCTGCAAGATCACAAACGCTATCATGCGGCTCCACCGCTTCTCTCTGGTCTGAAAAGAATCCATCGTCATCAGTCTCCCCAAAAAAGGAATGCCCCTCAGCTCTTCCACAAGCTATAGGCCCATTAGCCTGCTCAGTTCGCTGGGCAAAGTAGTTGAATCAATCCTTTTCGACTGGCTTCTTGACCACATGGAGCAAAAGAATCATCTTCCCTACTTTCAACATGGTTTCCTCAGGTAGCACGGCACCGGCCATTAACTTTTCCGTGTTTCCGAACACATTTCTGACAACCTAAATAAGCGCTATCATACTTCCATGCTTCTGTTTGACATTTAGCAAGCCTTCGATTGAGGACTAATTTCTAAACTTACTCCCCTCAACACCCCATTTTTCCTAATCGGGGTTATCCGATCTTTCCCGTATGACAGAACTCTTCGTGTTTGCATCGGCTCTGCTTTATCCCCAAGCAAACCCGATGTGCTCCCTTCGTGTTTGCATTGGCTCTGCTTTATCCCCAAGCAAACCCGATGTCCTCTAAGACTCCAAGCTGTCACCTTTTCTGTCCAACCTTTTCTGCGCCGTCCCATCCCTCGATCCTCACAGATCTTTATGACGATATAACCATTCTCCAGTGCTCTACAAAAAACATGTTTCTTACTTAGCTACTAAATTAGTACTGAAGCTGGAAACTCCATTAATGAGACCAAATCGGAAGCAATTTTCTTCTCCCGTAGGACTTGGAAATCTCCTACCGTTAACAACCACCTCATCAAATGGAACAACTCTATTATAAACTTCAGCGTCATCATCGACAGGACACTGACAGGCGTAAACACATCCTTGCCACCCGCGCGAAGGCCTTAGCCGTCCTTCATCTAAAACAACTCCGTCTCTTATCAAATAAAAATCTGTGCGTTCACCGCAATTATAAGAAGCATTTGCTTCTACGACATTCCCCTGAGGCTATTCCCATTCCCATCGCCTACAAATTCTTCAAGGCACTTACATGCGGATTCTTTGTTCTGTGTTCAACTACCCATGGTTCATTAGAAATACCCAAATTCTGAAAGAAATTGATAAACCTTCACTCCCAGAGGCTGCAATCAGGTTCACGGCAAATCTCCGGGTGTCAGTGAAACCCGTCCACTTCGACACTTTCTGAGTTCGCCCCTAAACCAAATGACCGTGTCAAAATGCCACCTTCTACACGGAACTGCTTCCCTTTTGCTCATTCCTTGTTTCGCCTTTTTAGTGCTAGTGCCCACCCACCTCAACCGAGGTGAGTCACGGAGTCTTATTTCATTTCTCTTCTCGCCCATTGCTTCCTTTCCTAAACTCAATCCCTTTCCCGCTCCCAATGTCTTCCCATTGAACAATACCTGGGGTGTATAACCTCCGGGATGATCTCCCTACTCGAGGAGGTGTATTAGTCGGTAAGCGCTTCGACGAATCTGACACTACCCCTTTTCAGGGTGTCCTTTGAAGATTTCTCCTCCTCGAGGAAAAACTAAACCAAAAAACCGACACATTGTTTCCAGCTGGGTTGTTATTGTGGCGTACAAGTTTTCGAAGAAACTTTTTTAGGAACGTGACTAAGGTAAGCTAGTCTCTTTATGATAGTGATCCTAAAAATATTAAAAATATCTACTTAACCGTTATTTTCCCTTTCAACCCTTTCCTTGAGCAAATTATCCTCCTAATTGGAACCTTCCCGACCTCCTTCAATTCTGACTGGTTCGAAAAGAAGCGTGTATTCCTCTCTCACATACTTCTACCTTGACCCGATAATTCGGAACAAACCGTTCTAACCGATTCAAATGAAATTTTTAAACTCCCTCAATGATCTGCCGATTACTAAAGAAGAATACAAATGAGCTAAAAAGGTGTGGAATATTTTCCGTTACTTCATTACAGGAAACTACTCCGATATTTATCTAATGTCTGATGATTTCACTGCTCCCGGATTAGCATGGGACATCATGTTACGTTTAACTGGGGTTGAGCTACAATTGCATACTGATGATGACATGTTTCATTTTTTTAAGAGAGGGGTTTGAGAAGGAATAAGTCATTGTAGTGAAAGGATGCATGAAGCTACAATCATTTTCTCGATAATTCTCCTGTAGGTTTTGTTTTGGAAGTTGATGTTTTCTGCCCCATCCACTTACATGACTACCAAAGCGAGTTACCTTTCCTCGTTGTAAACATTACTCTTCCTACGACGACAAACAACTCTAAAGTTAAAAATGACTCATTCCGAATCTCATGAATAAGTCGAACTACATTGTTCATTACTTAACCATGAAGTTCTTGTTCACGGACGTGTTTTAAACAAAATTTATCGAGTTATCGAATTCCAATTCGCTTTCGAGATCTGTCAGAAGCCTTTCTATGCAATCCCGCGGAACTCTATCGTAGACTTCCTAGAATTCTTGAAAATGTGGTCCCTGAATGTAGTTCCCTCAGTACGAATCTGTGGATTGATTTCTTTTATGCTGATCGTCTTTCTTTCACTCTCTTTTATTTTTCTCTTTTGTGTTGATGTTAGATGCAGATATTTCTCTTTCCCTTTTCAATTCTTCTTTCACTTCTTTACCTACTTAACTCTTTAAATTCTGATTCGATTTAGTGATTGCTTCGTATCTTTCTATTAATAATACATCTTCCCCAGAAATACTTACCTTTAAGTTTTACTAATTCACGTTTCACTTTAGCACTGTCCATATAAATGAATTGATGTTTTCCTCATAAATGATTATATATTTATCGAATCCTTTTCTGTACCTCTCTTGCTCTAAAGAGCAGTCATTGTTTATTACGACAATTCCAAATTTATTCCTCTAGCATGTGGCGCAAATATCATCAAATGACATGTTGGTGGTGATATGATAAGAAAATACGTTTTTTAAGTTTNCGATAAACATTAATAAAGGACGAGGTATACATAATAACCTTATTTTCGTAGTATTATCAGCACTCGGAGCTTTATAGGATGGTGTTGCCAGTATTGCCAAGGCAGTTCAAGATGCTAGAGCTGCACAAAACAGTTTGATGAGCGTCACGTCACAACAAAACGATGGAAGCAATTGCACTTGGAAAAGAAATTTCAATACAACCTCACCATAAGAGGCTTGGCCTGTATCTTAAACCATTTCAAAGAAAAGCCGTGTTTTCTCGTAAAATTCCTCAACCGCCCCTTAACAGATGGGGATGTACATAGATAAGCTGAAAAGTTGAAAATTCCATTATTTCGTCCAGTGTTCATACGTAACGAACTACAAAAAAAATTTAAAGTGTGAAAGCATTAATTGTGATGACGGTGCCGGAACACATTGGACTGCTTATAAAATGTGTAATAAAATAGCAGAGTACTCCGACAGTTTTGGAGCTTTGCCTCCTCCTCGAGAATTCGTTCGCTATTTACGTTCCGCTGGTCCTTGCACCATTCAATATAACTAGGACAGATTTAAAAAAATTGATAGTTTCAATTGTGGTCATCTGGTTCTTAATTTTTTAAACGAACCATCAGCCACACTACCCTTTTGTATGAATACTTCAAAATAGAGGTTTCACTCAAAGAAAAGGCATGGGTTTTACGTTTACCTTATCCAAAACTAAATCTGAACTACATATGCTATGCAGAATGCTATGAAATAAATATTAACAAAACACCTTCCCATCAATTAAAGGACAAGGGGATTTCCGTACGTCTGTTTGGTAATTAGATTAAAATCTTACTTTAAATGCACTGAAATAATAGAGTTTAGGTTTTTAAAACAAATTACTTCCAACACTGCAGGAGTCGTAGATAAAGTTGCAGATATAAACCATTTCCGTTTTGTGCAATCTCATTTCTAACTTCTTCATGCATGGCGATGATAGAGAAAAAGGCCACGATGATCATTTTATACATCAATTCTTTCTGAATGTACCTTCTGGTTTCAAAATCCTATCAACCCTATTTACTTACCGATTAGTACGCGTTACCCGGCTAAAGAGGACCCTAGTTGGTCCTAGAACGGGCTGAGGTAGAGGTGTTTTAGTCGGTAGGTCCGAGGACTTCTTCCTCGGGAATCCGACACTACCCAGTCGTACGGACGGCTGGGTGTCTTTTGAAGATTTCCCCTCTTCCACGAAAACATAAAAATAAAATATGCGCTACATCGACTCTATTTCGATTAAAATAGTGGATCAAGACAGAAATCTTGTTAA